AGTGAGGGTGACAGCGCACTGGAACAGGCTGCCCAGAGAGGTTGTGGAGTCTCCTTCTCTGGAGATCTTCAAAACCCGCTTGGATGCAGTCCTGTGCCACGTGCTTTAGGTGTCCCTGCGTATGCAGGGGGGTTGGACTAGATGATCTCTAGAGGTCCCTTCCAACCCTAAGCATTCTATGATTCTATGATTCTATGATTCAAATTCAATTTTATCAAGAATGTCTGGGTAGAAGTGAAAAGTCCTGCTTCTGGAGAATTTGCACTACTTATTTTTCTTTAAGGGTTATTGTTTTGTAATAGACTTCTACCTGAGAATAAGATGACATGCCTAATGCCTAAACCCTTATTAGTTATATAATGTAGAAATCTAAATGCAAACAGGCATACTGGAGTGAAATGCTGAACACTTTTTCTTTTCTTTTTTTTTTTTTTAAGCTCACTGCAAATCTAACTTTATTATGATGAACTAAGCAGAAGAAAAATCAAGACTGAAGAACATGTGCTTTCTATTTTGCCACACTCTCCACCAGTAAGTTTCTGTAACTGGGAGGAGAAAAAAAAAAAAAAAAGGACAAGGAAGAAAGGGGCAGAAGGGCATTTAATTTGTTTGCACGGTGACCTTGAGCTTCATATCAGAGGACTCATAAGGTACTTTGGAAAAATGGATTAATTACAGAAAAATGGATAGTTCTGGATCTTTGTTAAGCAAATCTTTTAAACAAATATTCTGAAGGTGGGAGCTGAAACAAATCTAACTTTCTTCTGAGAATGATATTTTTCGTTACATGAATTTATCCATTTAGGTTCTTAGGAAAACCAGATAGTTCACTGAAGACTAAATCTTGCCTACTCTAAGCTTACATAAAGGAGTTTGTATGATTAGATCTATGATGTGGAAAATCCAAAATGCCTATTTGTCACTGTTGCATTACACATTAGAAATCTAAAAATCCTGTATATATGCTTTTATGAAGAAACACTTTTTTTTTTGTATACACAAAACTGGAATTTCAGATCTTCTTTTCTGTTTCAGATTTTTGTATTGTTTTTGTTAAATAGATGCACCAAACATTACTGGTAAGTTTCATTACCATGTCATGAATGTGTGCAAAAAATCAATACCATTTCATTTGGCTTGTTTTCATATTTCTCTATTGTGGTTGATGCTAAACAGAGGAGAAGACACCCTAACCATAACCCTAAGACCATAAATTACTTTTAAATAAAGGCTTTTTCTTTTTTAGAGCTTTGTTTTGAAGTTTCAAAAAAGCACTACTTTTGTTGTATATTTAGGTGAGAATTCCCTTTGTACATGTAAATATTGTTTGTATAAAAGGAAGGAGCAGTTTTTTTTCTAAACAAACACATCTGTTTTTCTAAATAACCTTTCTCAAAGATATACTTAGAATATGACTTTAAAAGTTCAACTCACTGTAAGCTTATAAACTGTTTTGCTCTTTTCTGTTGTCATGTTGATTCATGGATATGAACTCTTTAAGCTAATGGGCTAATGACTGAGACAGCAGTCAAATATAAAGGCTTTTACTGCCTTTTTTTAAAAAAAAGAGAATGTATGTTCCTTTCTATTAGCTAATCCCCTCCAAGATGGAGCTTTCTGTAGCAGCTCTGAAACAAACACTTCTCCTTCCCTCTGGGTTCAAGCTTGGTATGGTTTACTTAAAACACTTGAGTTCCTCAGCGCTCTCCCTTGGATCATTAGAGCTAGTTAAGGTACTGGTAATAAGATCTGTTCATAGTCATGCTGAGTAGGACTTAAGGAGGGGAAGCACTGCAGCTTGGAATAATTAATCATTGGTACTTTGGAGTTATTTGACTACATCAATATGAATTCATGGACAGAAAGACAGAATTAAATAGCACCGTTCTCGGGCTTCTCTGTTGAGGATTTTGTCTTTTACCTAAACATCTATTTTAGCTCAGTCTTTCATGCTGGAGAAGTGAGTAGTGTATGAGACAGAGACCACACTAACTGGACACAATGCTTCAACTTACCCCAAGAATCATGCACTAAGGCAACTACAAAGGATAGGATTCAAATCTTCCAGGCTATCAACTGTAAGACATGTTCTCCTTGTAAGAATTGCTGAAGCTTAGAACCAGAAACTAATCACAGAGTACAGCCACCTAACCCCCCTCCTAGACACTGGACATCTTACTCTTTTAAGAATCTTCACTATTTACCTTTCTGAGGATAAGCCAGCTTCTCTTTCACAGATAAAAGCATGATAAATTGCAGAAATTGGAATGTAGTAAGACAGTCAGTTTTCAGGCTGTTTTTTTTTTCCTTCTCTGCACCCCTAAAAAGTTTTAACCTATGAATTTCAATGAGGCATAATTCACAGGTTGATCTGTTGTATTTTACCATCTTCAAACATTTCTTCTTTCCTTGGTGGAATTCTACTCAATATTCTCATATTTGCATTTCAGGCTTAAGTAGAGGTGAAAAGTCAGATAATTTTCCATCCTCCTTGTTCAGAGAGGCAATAGTGGCTAGGTAGACAAGTGTGTCCACTAGCCCTTCCACAAGATATAATCATACTCCTTTAACATGAATTTCTGTGGCTGCTCTGCCATGTGAAACTGAAGGTCAGGTATTGGCAACAGTAAAAGACAGTTGAAAGTGCCTGTTTACAAGCTCTTATAATCCACATACAATCAGGTATTAAAATGTCAGTTTATTAAATGTAATTAACAGTGGCAGTTAACGACACTTGTTATGGCACTGATTGTCTCTTAGTAAGTGGCCAGGCTTAAGCAAAAGAAGTGAATACCTTTCCTTGTATTAATGTGAAGGGAACTCTGATGACGGACATACTTTGCCCTGCTAGGAGAAAAAGAGCATAGCCAATCAAAATTTAAAGCAAATACTGACAAATTTCATTATTTCTGGTTGGATAAAAGTGACTGCATTATACAAGACTAGCAACAATATTGGCTCACTAGGAGACCAGAGAAACAACATGGAATTTAGTTTTTGAATATATCCTGTCCCAACATAGCATTTTCATCTATACTATTATGTGATAGTTCCTTGGTCTTGTCATACTTTGCTACAGTTTAGTATAAGCTCTAGACAAGTGTATTCAGTTCATTTTTTATCTAGTACATATACAGAATTTGTATTTAAAAAAATACATAGATTTATCTGTACAGTTTCTGTAAGCAAACAGACAGCATTTAAATACTATGCTTCAAGGCAGACAAACTTTTTTCCATGGATAATTGCTTGAACTCTTTTGTATTTTTAGTTACCTAAAGCTAACTAACTGGCAGCTAGCAGATAGTCAGTCTTGGCTCTCTATTTGTTTTACTTCCAAGTCATTGTATGTTGCTGTCTGGGCTACTGTTGCAGAATTGCCTGCTTATGGTGAACTGAGAATTTTAGACTATTTTGTAAACAAAAAGATAGCGTTGGGAAGCTTTCAAACAAAGTAATTCCTAAAGATGCTCAGTGTAGACTCAAGGAAGTACAGGATCTCCATATGCACAGTCCTCTTCAATAGCAAGATTGTACTCTGCTCCTTTTCCACCTTTGTATGCACTTGTCACAATTCTCAGCCACCCTCTTTCACCCTGTAAAGGATTAATTTGTGTTAGTATAAGCATAACATTGTGAGTTAGAAAACATAAGTTAGCTATAGAAAATGTGCATTATTGTATCTGTTCTGGCTGCTGAACATGGATGATGAGTTAATTCCCAGATTGATGTAAAATGTGCAATAATGAATTCACAGGGCAGCCTTGTTTGAAGTGGCAGTTTGCTTTGGTGAATGTACATCCCTTCCCTCTATTCCACATATACAACTTCATTTTTACCTATAATTAACAGTAATTTACAGCTGCCTGTAACAGGAGCTGCATGTCCATGGAAGGACAGCATTTGGGATTGAGGTAACAGTAGCCAAGTTACCTTTGGCTGACTAGCTCTGTGTTAAACTTAGGTTAATTTTCTAAGGGCTAGTCTTTTTCGAGGAGTCTTACTTTTCCTATCCACGGGCTACCTCTCCTGTTTGCAAGGAAAGGAGGAAGAGGAGAAAAGAAAAGGAATTAAAAAAAAAGGGGGGGGGGGCAGCAACCTGTTTTCTTTAAAGTCATTTTTGCAAGCATGTTTCTTCCATTCTTTTCTTACCCAAGGTTCACCCCATGAGTTGCGAACAATCCAATATTCTGTTCCATTTTCCACACCCCAGCCAGCCACAGATACAATGTGATTCACCGCAGGTGAGGGGTTGTACTCAGTATAAAGTCCTCCAGTGTAAGCATCTAACTTTTCAGTAGCCATTATACCACAGCTGTAAAAACAGAGTAAGCATCTTTATATAGCAAAGTCAAGTAGGGTATTTAAAGTATTTTAAAAGTAACTTTTTTTTTCATTTTAACTTTGGTTAGTGTAACTACAAATTACCCCAAGTCTCCCTATTAGCCACCGCACCTCACATCTGCCAGAGTAGAGAAGTAAAAGCTTCAAGTATTTCTATTCACATACTGGCAATAGCTATGTTTGTTTTCCTACCATTCAAGATTTGTTCTTTTTCCTTTTACCTAATTGGTCCATTAGTGTAGATTTCTGCCATCATTTTCTCCCTTCCACTGACAGAGCCATAGTCAGCAACTTTCCAGAGAGTATAGTTCTGTATCACGTGACATTCTCCAAAAGTAACACAAGTTCCACACTGGTTAAACTTCTTACATTCTACAAAGCAAAAGTGAGATTATCACCACAAGAGAATGCCCTTTTTTTTTTTTTCTCTCTCTCTCCAGGCGGGGAGGGGGTGGTTAAGACATTTGAGGCAGAATTACTAATATATATTTTTGCCAGTGAACTAAATCCACTTTTGAAAGCACTTTGAAGGTCTATACAATCAAAAGTTATTACTCCTTACTTCAGCAGCACAAGGTCCTTGATGACAAAATAACTCAAACTTGTTTCTCTATTCCAGTTAGACATGAACATACAAAGGTTATGTTTCTGCTTTGTTTACCTTGAGGTGATGCTTTTGAATATTTCAGTACATGGGAGATTGTATAGCAGAGACATACAAGATTAAATTTAAGCAATTTAGCTGGTACAGACCTGTTTGGACATGACTTACTGTTATGCTGTCTGACCAGAGTAAAATAAACTAAAAAACCACAAAACACACACATCCCTGTAAAGAAACCCGTTTTGTCAGTCAAGCAACAGGTACTACACCAAAAGGCAGGAAGCAATACATTGAAAACCTAAGGCATTATTACCTCTCTGCACTATGATCTAGCAAACCTGAGCTGAAACCGAACAGCAGACTAAGTAGGTATCATACTTTGATCTTTTGCTTGGTAGTTGTTACAGGTCTCATCTGGAATGCCATGGTCATGGGCATACATCCAAACACCTGTGTGGTCTCCACCTTCGCAGGACCCCGCATTAGCGCAGTCGATAACATTTTGGACAGAGAGGTAGGCAGAAGGCCATGCGCCTTTCCTCTTTATGTTGATTCGATCTGTAAGAATAAGCAATGGGGCTTGTTAGTTGAAGTATTTGAGCCATTATTCATGGCAACTAGCATTAAAACTGTGCTCTTGATTACTCTTCTGTTTGCAGGCAACAGTATTTGTTACTGCAAAAGCCTCTAGTATAGATGGTGAGGCTTACACTACAACTTAACTCAAGTGTGCAAGCTGGTACCATTGTGGGTTTCCATTAGAAGAAGTTTTCACTAAAAGCTTTGCAGAAATATACAACTGTGTAAGATCTGTTTAATCCTTTTTGAGAACTTCCCAATCTGTTTACTAGCCTTGACAGAAAAGAGGTCTCAAATACACATCAGGAAATCCGTTCTCACTATCCTGTTTTAACAGGAGTAGATAGTTCTGTATAGATCAACAGAAAGCGCATACAGCCCAGGTCTCCACCTCTGAGAGATAATCTTTGCAATCTTTAATCAAGAAAAAGCATTCAGAGGTATTTTCCATATTGTTATGTAAACATACTGCAGTCATCATGCCATCTTAAAAGATTTTCATCATATTACTGTTTTTCATCTGAAATGCTACTAGTTTGTCAAAGAAAGCTCATAATTAGTATCTATGTGCTGCTGCTGCTTCTAGTGCAGTAACAGTCTTAACTAAGCACACTAGAGTGCTTAGAGTGCTTTTAGTCCTGTTAGTACTAATGAGTGTGATTGTACTTGATAGACACTGGTAGAATGCTTCACAAGAATTAATGGGGCATTATCCTAGTCCAGTCTTTGAGGAATAAAATAATAAAATTTTAATAAATAAATAATGGATGCTATAACTTATGCAAATAAGAGAAAAAAAACTTTTTTTAAAAAAATCAAACTTCTGTGCTTTAAGAAAAGGATATACATATACTCCACCTTTTAAATTTTAACTAAAATTAGATAGAAATTTCTTAAGTGTATATCTGCCTAGTAGTTATTACCTCACAGCAGGTTTCATATGTCTGTACTGCTGTATTGCTTAAGAATGGATCCTTCACAAGTCCTGCCATCTCCTCACACACACCTGTGAGGTCTTGTCCTCTTCACCATTTCCTCCATTCTCCCTTTACACTTAAACCTTCTAACGACCTCCTTAGTCAAACAGGAACTCTGCAGAATGTTACTGAACCAAAGCAGTTGTCTGCAAATCATTGTGTGTTTTCTCTAGATTTTTTTCCAATTAAAACAAACTTCTATTTTCCTTTCCCCGTCCTCAGAAAGCAGAAGAGGAAACCAGCTCTTGAAATTTGCCTCTGTACTGTATTCATCAGTTCTTTTAACTAACAGGGCTCTGCAAGCTAATGTCCCACAGGCCTTCTCACTTGAGAAGCAGCTCCTTTCGTTTCCCCTTATTCTAAGTATCACTCAAATTGCAAAGCATGCGCCCTCATAGTACAGCAGAACAAGGTATCAGCAAAGGGAAAGAATTATGCCAAATGTCTTTCTCTACCCCTGCCAAAACGCCAGTCCTTTATCCTGGCCCTTAATAGCAGCTTGGTAGGACTAATAAGTGTATTCCTTCTGCAAACAGCTTTTTAACTGCTTCAGGATTCTCCCCACGCTTGCATAATTTTGAGAGGGAGGAGATAGCCTTACCCTGCTTGCTTTTCTTCTCTAAACCAAAGCCTTGAGTTGTCAGAGTGGGAATTGCCATCATCCTCTCAGCCTGTCTTTGCTGTGTTAGTCGTCGCACTTTGCACTTTACGCGCTCTTTATATCTTTGCAAGCTGAAAACACCCTTTGTTTCCCAAAAGCTACAAATCCTTGGATACAAGAGCCAGCCCAGCCCAGGGCCAAGGGAGCGCCCCCTGCACCGTGTACCTGCCATGGCGCTGGTGCTGCCGTGGGCCCAGCAGGACCCGCAGTACTGCGGGATGTGCTGGTTCCGCGTGGTGCTGGCGTAGTTGACCCCATCCACGTTCCTCCAGTCCCAGCTGGCAGGCAGCTTGGAGATGTCCAAGTACTCATGTGGACGAGGGTAAGTCCTGTGGCAAGGCAAAAACAAAATCAAAAAGACGCACTAGTTCCTTTTTTTTTTTTTGCCTGCATTTTGGGGTAAACAAGAGTTTAAAAAGTGTGTGCGTATATATATACATACACACACATATATGGGGGGTTATATGCATATTTATTTTTTTACGTTATATATACATATATATGTGTGTGTGTGTATAATTATAAAAAAGAAAAAATCCCCCTAGAGTTTCCTAACGAGGCGTGCGAGTGTCCGGCCGCAGCAGCGCGGATCACATGACACGGGACAACGTGACCGACCGAGCCCTCGGGACGGGGCCTGGGGATCC